GGGGGGGAGGGGGGGGTTTGTGCGGGGAGAAGGGTGCAACAATGAATGAATGGAATTCCAAAATCTCTGTAGATGTTCATTGAAATGAAAAATAAACAAACTAAATTAAAAAAAAATACAGAACACAGTAAGATGCAAATTAAAAATAGCATAGATTACGGTTAGTATATAAGTTACCGGCTACAAAATAAGGCAAACTCCACCAATAAATAGGCAAATTTTGCTACAGGCTAGATGTTATTAACTCATGCTTTATATAATTTGATGTAGATTTTTGTAGTTTGAAATAATGCTGTATATATAAAAGGCAAGATGAATTCTACATCAGATTGTAAAATACTGATTGTTATGAACAAGTTGGTAAGAGAGATGTTGCTTCATGAATAGAAAGGTTCAGAGGTTGAAAATGTAATTTTAGAAAACAATGAGATACTAGAAGTTAAACAGTAACAATAAAAAAAAAATCAAGGTATTTTATATCTAATATTCCTTTCTCCATGCTGAGCAAAAATGATACTGTTACATAAGGATTCTGTGTACAAGCTATTAGAAACGACCAAATTAAGTGTTTGGCTCAGCAAGATCAGTTAGCCACACCTCCCAAATTTTTTTAGGCAAAGGAAGGTCTAAGGAACTTGCTAAAATCACAAAGCTATCATCTTGTACTTTATGGAGATTTGACTTCTTTCAGTGATCTTATTGCTGCTGCTGTTAGGTGTGACCGAATTGACTATCACTCTCTGTGACCCTATGAACAAGAGATCAAACCTTGCCTTATCCTGCACCATTCCTCATGATATCGACCACGCTCACACTGCTTTATCAGTCCATCCCGCTGAGGACACTCCTCCCTTTTGCAGGCTCTCCACTTTCCCCAAGCATGATATATTTTCCAAGGATTGGCTCCTGCCAACATGCCCAAACTATGTGGGAAGTTTCCTCATCCTTGCCTCTAAGGAGCACCCTGTCTGCACTTCCTCCAAGACAGATTTGTTTGTTCTTTTGGCACCCCATGGTATGTATATTCAATACCCTTCTCCAACATTAAAATCAAAGGCATCCATTCTTACTTAGCCTTTTAGATGCTTTAGAGGCAACTAAAAATATCCATGGCTTGAACCAGGAGAACTTTAGTTTTTAAACTGATGTCCTTGTTCTTGAGTACCTTAAAGAGGTTTGTCATAGCAGATTTCCCAAGTGCAAAACAGTTTCTGTTTTCTTGACTGTAACCATGGGTGCTGCGGATTCAGTAAGACAAAATCCTTGAAAACTTCCATCATATCTGCATCTATCACAGTTCTGCCTATTGGTTCAGTAGTGAGGATTT